ATAAGAATAAAAATAGGAATCAAGGTTGTGTAATTGTGCAAATATACAATGTACGTGCAGTGGTTCTATCTTGAGAATCAAAATCCTCATCAAAGCAGATTTCAATACAGACAGGCCTCACTTCAACAGGCAGCAGACAAGAGGAGACACAGGCCATCAATTCATTTTAGAGTGATGATGAGTGATCAGTTCACTGGAGAGAGGTGAGGGCGTGTTTGATGTTCATTTGGGTAGAAGAGGAGGCAGGAGGATAAAGGAGAAGTGTGAATGAAAGGAGATTTATCGGAGCCTTTTCGCTTTTCCATCTCTTCCCCCCCCCCCCTTTCCTGCTCTTTTTCCTTTTTTGCCATTTGACTTTAATTCCCTGTTATAACCAGGATTTATGAATCTCACACACGTCACTGTGGAGTCGACCGCGTCTGTCTGCCCTGATCTGTACAACTTGGAGTTTTTTTCTTAAAGTTCTGCCGGGGGGCGGTGCAGTTTCAAAAAGGAAATAATAAGGTAGGGTTGCAAAATGGAGCGTGCAGTCACACTTCTGCTTGGGCACAGGGGCAGACAACAGGGACTTTAACGTGCACGCTCACAGCTATTCGACTGCAAACCTGTACCATCAACTGCCCTTACACGAAAACAACTGAGATGTTGTGGTGTGACAGAAACAGGAATCAGCATCTGCACAACTTTCTGTTTACTGATATTTGGGATCTTGAAGATAACTTTCCTTTCTGCTTTTAACTCAACCTCAGTCACACACCTGTTTTACAGAGAAACACAACCTCAGTAGTTTATGTTCATTGCTTCTATCTCCTTCCCACACTAACAGCTGCCATTTCACTGCTTTTAGCAACAGGGACAAATAATGCTTCTGACACGACACTCAAATACCAGGGCGAGAGTAAACCCTGTAGATGACAAACTACACGTTGGAGCACATTCATACACCAGCTGCAACATAAAGTTTCGCAGAAATGGGGAAAACACAGAAAAGAATCAGAAGTTCTCACTTCCTCTTTGTTCTGATACAAGACAACCTCTCTGCACACTCCTCTTCACTCACACACACACACACCATGTTGATATCTGCTTCTTTCTGCTGTGATCAAAGACGGTGACAAAGACCAGCGAGCTGATTGTGAGACATTGATTCAAGGCGAAGGTAGGAAGACATTTTCTTCAGAGTATAATTATATTTGCTTTAATTAAATATGATTTTTCGATTTCAGTAAGGTGCCGTTTTATAAATCATCTTTTAGACCACAGAACTCAAAGTGCATCATAAATGATCTAAAACTAATTTTGCATAGTGGTAATATTAACGTGTTATTTGTGTGTATTTTGTTGAGTTTTGTGTATTCAGACAGGGTCAGTCATTGTAAAGTATGAGGCTGTAGAGGCTGTGGTGTGTGGCATTGATTCCTGTTGTGTGTTTCTATAGGTCACCATACATGCATGGTGACAGTGTGCGTCTATAACCTGGCTCAGAGTGTGTGCTCTTTCTTACAGGATGCTTTGTGAAGGCAGATTGTTGAGCATGACCTTCGGTGAGTCGGAGGAGCCGGACTCCCTCCCTCCTCAGAAGCCTCTCCAGAGTGCTTATGGGCCGCCGAGAGCAGCTGCCACCCTCACGTCAGGCTCCGCTACGCACGCCACCCCAATTCATCGCACTTCCCCTGAGCCGATAGCTAGCATGGACAGCAAGAGTTCCTCATTGGTGATGTACTCCTCCCTGTCACACTCCTGCTCTCTCCACTGGGCCCCTACGAGCAGACAGATCTCCGCAGAGATAGAGATCCCAGCTCTGGCTCGCTCAAGTGTCGATGCCCCTTTCCTGGTCCCGTCCTTCTGTCAGAGCATCTGCCAGAACTACAGTGACCTCCACATTGGAGGTGACCAGGTGCTGCCTCTGTCAGCGAATGATGGCAAGCTGAGGCTCTGCACTGAAGCTCAGCCTCCTGGCCCCTTCCTCCAGTCCTGTGACGTCCCCCCAGCTGTGGAGGATTCTCTCCCAGGACAGACATCCCAGGGGGGGCTTCTGTGTCCACTGAGGAGGGGTTCGAATCAATGGAGACAGAGGAGTGGCCGCGATGTGAGTTTTTTGTTCCAAGGCCGAGAGGGGCCGTTCTCCAACTCCCTTCTTAATCACTACCTGGAGCAGAAACTATTGGATCTGTACCAACAATATACGATGGAAAACATGGCGAGAGATGAATCTGACCAAGGCCCCGTTTGTTCTCTGATGGGGTCAGAGTTGGTCCTGACCAGCCTGGACCAGATCACCATGAAGCTGAGTCGGGAGGGGAACCTGGAGGCCAACGTGGCCAAGGACATGGTCCTGAGCTGCCTGCTGCGGGTGGCTGGTGACATGCAGTCGAGTGAGATCAGTACACCCGTCCTGCAGATTTCAAACGAGGAGTCCAGGGAGCAGCTGACAGAGGATAAGGAGGAGTAACCGCAATATGAAGAAACCAATTCTCCCTTTCTCACCAACACCAAAAATTTGATTATTTTATTCTATTTCATAAGCTTCTGAGAGGAGGTTTTTGCTGAAGTTTTGCCGTAGTTATGTATCATCATTTTTACATCCGCCATCCTATTGGCATGTGTTTGTGTTTTCGTTTTTTCAATAAAGACAGGAACCGAAACTCGTCTTTTCCCTTTTTCTCAAAGAACATAAACAACACAACATCCTGCAACAGTGTCATAGGTCGAATATCATAACCCGTAACACACATGAATACATCTGGTCATCATTTCTTCTTCAGTTATACATTTCTGTCTGTGATTCGTGAACAAATTGTGAATGAAAGTATAGTATTTGGACACCTCACCACAAGAGCTTGAAGCAGTGACTCATATTGTCAGAGAACAGACATGTGCATTAGCTCTGATGCTATAAACCTCGATCTTCTGCATTTTCACAAATAGAAATCCACAATTAAATCAGTTTTTTAAGATTTTATGTCCTAAAATATCATTCTTGACATATTTCCTGTTTTCTCAATCATGACTCTATTCCCGTGCTCCCCTTCAAATCCTGGAGTTTATCAATGACTTCCCTACAATGTCTGCAGTTCAATAATATGTCACAAGGGGGAGCATTATCACCCAATTTATTAACCTTGATGACTTTGACAAGCACCTCCTGCTCCTCTCTTCTATTATCCCCTTCCTCCTCCTCCTCCTCCTCCTCCTCCTCCTCCTCTTCCTCGCTGTCTGGCTGCAGCTTCATATCACCACTGTCCTACTACTGCTAATCTATGATGTCATTAGGACTGGGCTGTAAATCTGCAGCACGCAGGCAGACGAGCACCAAATTTCACACTGCGTCTGAGATACTGTTTCCTCCACTTTGTAAACAAATTCAACGTTAAGATAAGGGAATCTGCTCGTTCTGATTTATCCTGAGAAAATATTGCACGATCACAAATGAGGCAACAGGCATCGCTGCTATAAACCTGTGGATGTGCTGGGGGGGGGTTATTTTTCATGTTTCCCTCTATTTAAAGTGCTTTCAAAGACCCTCAACTCCATTCCAGCTCAATGCAGCCGTGGCCTTCTGGGCCACTGTTTGATCAGCTTCCTTGTTTCCTGTCCAAACACAGACCCACAAGAGGAAACCGTGTTTACCGAGCCGAGCACTGAGTCGGAGCCCTGTGAAGTCTCAAGGCCACAGAGACGCATGTTTGGTATTTCTGCCTCTGTCCGGACTGAACATTCCAGGTGTATGTTAGAGGAACTGAGTCCTTAAAGACCTAAACAAAAACACGCTCACATATAAATATCATTCACCCAGTGCCAGGTCTGGGGGTGTGAGCGTATTAAACAAACTATCCACAGACCTTGGGAAAAATGAAAAACAGACCTCTTATTCCTGCATAGGTTAAGAATTGTTGACGGTGCTGAAGGTGAAGCTACAGACTGCCGTCTCCTACACAAGATTTATTTACCTTATTGCACTTGTAATGCAAATGTACTTTTCCTTAGTATAAGACTGGCCAAATATTTCACATTGTGTTTTACGTTTTGAGTGAAAACACAATATAAATAGACATTTTTTGGGTTTAATTACTAGTTTTTTTCCTCTGAGAAGAAAGTGGAGACTAAAGTCAAAGAATGAAGGAGAGGCCATGGCAAAGGAGCAGGGTACGAGGCTGCAGTGAAATAAAAAAATTATGTTGGAAAAAACACACTTCTCTCATGGTCTAGCAATAAAACTAACAGGGAGGGTGAAGTGTTGGAGTGTTTTTCAGAGGTTCATAAAGTAATTTCCTTGTCACAAAGAGCTTTTAACATGGAGGGCGGTAGAAGCAAGGCCACGAGATTTCATATCAAAGCCAAGGTCCTGGATACACTCTCACTATTGTGGCTTTAATGCTATGTAGCACTCTGTGACTTGCCTTTATTTAAAAAGCTTTTTGTATGTAACCTTGTTAATTGGAACAGTCATATACTGTTTACTTGTAATTTTTCCTGCCTTTGTGTCAGCGTGATTTAAAAACCCTATCACAGTTTGTCAAGGCCCATGTCTTTGAGCTCTCTGTGGCTTAGACATGGATACAGATGCACACACATGTGCACACAAACATGTACACATCTCCAGTGTTTTTACTCATGAACTCCTGTGCACATTACGATTTCAATGTCCAGCATGACTTCAGTAAAGCTGAAGCTCGCACACCAACACATACACAAACACGCATTTATGCCACACAAGAATTCCAGGCTACAGTTGGTGTATTGAGGGTCTTAATTCAATTAACATTTGTTCAGAAGCTGAGCTCTCGCAGCAAATCTCTCACACGGCCTTGAGCCAATGTGTTTTTTTAAAGATTACATCCACCGGAATGACCTAATGTTCGAGAGGCAGCATGCTGGAACATTCAATGACAGCCCTGCTCTGTATCGGGCTGATTGACACTGAGGTACCGTAGGTGGTGGAACGGGAGAACACACATTTCCCGGTCAGTTAGCCACTCAAGGTTGCGGGGAGCCTGCAGCGGTGTAGCTGACCTTGGCTAAGCTGGAGCAGACTGAGAAAGACCTTGAGAGACAGAGGGGCAGCAGGACCTGACACTCAAAAGGGAACATGATGTGGAAATGCACGACTATACATTACAGTGCACGGAGCCCACATTAATGTTGATGGCAAAACAAAAAAACAGGATTTCATCAACATAGTTTAATACATATGTGATTTTAACTTGATTTGTGCATAAGAGATTTTCCCTCGAAATTTTCAAATTTGGTGAAAATAACTTTTGCATATTTTTAAGTTTTAGGAATAAATTATTGTTGAAATTTCAAGGCAATATATTATTCTCATGACCTTCCTTGCTTGCAATTTAAAAAAATGATTCTGATTTTTATTATTATTATTATTCGCAGACCTTCATGAATTGATTAGACTGAATTCTTGATTTTCTGTGGTGTTTAAATGTTTTTCAGATAAAATCTTATTTTACAGATCCATTCATATTCCTTCATTCATCAGTTGCTTTTGTGCAAGAAGACGAACGATAGGCTACAATCCAAGCCACAAGACACCGTCATGACCTTCCTCTCAGGGATTTGTTGGTATGAGGGTTTAAATGTGAAAAACAAGAATCAGCTGTAGATGGCATGTAACTCGTTATTTGCCACAGTTTGCGTCGTCAGGCATTTTATTTTATCTGGCAGATCACATGGAAAACTACATAATCATGGTAAATCCACACCATCGTCATTTTAAGGAATCTGATCTCCTCCGCTCTGGTCGAGGATACGAGTTTCTGAAATGAGGTCAAAGAGGCTGAACTCTTGTTTTATTCACCATAACACATAATCTTTTCTTCTACATATTCTTATGTTTGTGTTTTGATCTCACAATGAACCTTTTATTGTGTTTCCCTCCAGCACTTTTACTGTTTCACTTTTCCTTCTAAATTATTTTAAAGATATTCGTGGAAAAAGTCTTATTTTTAACTAAATTTAACTGAACAACACACTGCCACAAATTCAAGCTGCACAATATTTAAACCCCCCAGAAAAAAAAAAATTCTGTCTTTCAGACACGATCTTTCATGTGCTGTGAAGAAATAAAAAAATCATCTTGCACTTTTTACATCCACAGAAAGCTCAAGGTTAATGTGTTTCTGTAAAAAGTGGATTGTACAGAATCTCTCCATTTGATGTTTCAATACGTCGACACTTCGAGATTACAGCTCCCTGACTTACACATGACAAAAGAGGCACATATATAGAGCCACATAGCAAAGAGAGGTTAGTGTTTGAATTTCAAAGCTTTTAGTGAAAGTTAAACTTTGATTGCTTCTTGCAAAAGGAAGCAGAAGCTAAAGCGTTACAATTACGAGTGCTATGACAGGGACGGATTTAACGGTGAAGGGGCCCCAGGGCAAAAATGAGCTGTGAGCCCCCCATGGACCCCCTGTTTCTCCCACCCTTGAAATATGTTTTAGTTTGTGACTTATAGTAAATCAGTGGCAATTTGACAGAGTATACATTTATAAAATAATATGCAACATCATTCAATTTAGAGTCTTCAACTGACTTAACCCCAATCTGCATGTCTCTGGGCTATGGGATGAAGCTGCAGTAGGTGCAGTAAACTCACGCAGACAAACATGTAACGTGTAAACTCCACAGAGAAACAAACTGGTATTTGAACCAGCAACCCTCTTGCATGTGAATACAATAAATACTGAAATGATACCGTCCTTAAAGCTGGATTTTACATTTGAGCCCCTCTACAAAACTCTTGGCCTTAAGCCCCAGGTCAACCTACAGACACGAGTCTGTGGCTGTGTAATCCAACCTGAACGGCTGCAGACCGGAAGTTGGAATTCATCATTTTAGATTTAGATTTATTTCATCAACATCTGACCAACATGTAAAACTTTCTCTCCTGTCACACAACTTGTATGATCAAGACAATCTCGTTCATTTGTAGTTGAATGTATTTGAAATCGAATGAGTGAAGCCACGTATATCAGATGAACGGCGTCTTTTGAGGTGGCTCGGAAAAAGAGTGACTTCTATAAACAACGAGTTCAACAAGCTTAACTATCATTTAGTGGAGACTCTGGCCTCGGCATAGGCAAACATGTATATAAAGCAATGGCAATAAAAGAGAGGAAAATTATACTGGCAAAAACAAATCATGAAGAGGAGGCAGAATATTGTGCTGAAGCAATTTATCCAGTTAAGCAAGGCCAATGGATGAACTTGCAAAGGAAAGAAACGTAATGGGAAAGAACCTTTCGCTGAAAGAATCTCGGATTAGATTAATAAGAGTGAAATGTGACATATTTCAAAAACCGCGGCCGTGTCTGAAATTGGATACTACAGTCAGTGCATATACATGTAGTACGAGTAGTACAGTGTTTACCAGGTACACACACAGGCTTAGTGTGTGGGCTTCGATGGTGGGCTTGTCTCAAATCAAACACGGTTGTGGTGGGTTTAATCACAGCTTTCAACTGTAAAGCTAACCAACTTATCTTCTCTCCGATGACTGGACTTTTCTAAATGGATCTACACTTCAGACCGAACCCTAACCTTGTCCTAACTCTAAATGAATTTACTCTAACTCTAATCATAGCTTCTAAACCCAAATCTAACTAACTTATCTTTTT